GGCAGTGGGGAAAGGCCAAAGCAAACCACACAGGGGGCAATTAAATACATGAGAGCCTGGAAGATGCGGATGGATGGCAACACTGAAGCACATGCGGTGCGAGGCAAGATGCTCCGGCCACCGGCACGCAGGGCGGCTGCTGCCCAGGGTCGAGGCTGGCATTACTGCAGGGAGCTGCAGCCAGAGCAGCGCAGCCCCAGCCTGCGGGAAAGCATGGGGATACAAGGGGACTACTGCAGTATATCATCCACTAAGCTGTGGGCTCTGCAGTAAAGAAGGTAACTGTTCTGGTAGAAATTTGTGCTTTAATATATTTTTGTTTGTTTGTTTAAAACAAGTTCCCACTTCCCTGAGGAAGCCCTGTCCGACATTCCCAAGGAAACATGGAGGTGTTTTTTTTCCTCCTTCATTTGCTCTTCACATTTCTTCATTCTTATTCTTTGTCTTTCATTCCTTCTTTTCTGTGTGTTTCTGTTTCTTTCCTTCCTTCCTCTCTCTCTCTCATGCACGTGCTTTTAAAAAATTTCTGTCTTTATTTTTTAATTTTGTTCTAGACATTGTGACTTTCTCAAGGAGTGCTCCAGTTCTGAACCAGATCCCTTTGCGTGGTCATGCCTGTCAGTCTTTGGTAACATAGGGACACTTTGGTGTGTCAGTGAGGAGGGGAGGAAGAGGAGCAGAGGTGGCTGAGTAGGAAAGGAGCAGGAAGGAGCGCTCGCTTGCCATCATCTGAGCAGCACATAAAGGAAGAAAGTCAATGGGCCACAAAGACAAGGGCTGTGTAGGGCCGGGACACTGCTTCCTGGAAGAGCAACCGCTGCCAGCCGAGAAGAGAGAAAAAGAATTAGTGATGGGACAGATCCAGAACTCATCAAACAAGTCAGCACCCATCAGTTTCTTAGCCTCTCCTCCCACCCTGAACCACAAAGCACCTCCCAAATCTATTGGAAGATCTTCCTAGCCTTCCCTGGACATTCTCAAGGCTTCCTGAAACAATTTCTTTTCCAGCTTGGGAGAAAAGGTTGAATCTTAGTTACTTTTGCAATCCAGCCTTCCTTTCTTCCCCAGAAGAGTCAACTTGAGTCAAACAAAAGGTTCTGCTTGCATTTTGGTTACAGCTTGGCCATCCTAGGCTGAAACAGACCTTTAACTGCATCTGAAATTTTGAAATTTTTAGGGTGTTCTGACTTTTTTGATGTTTTGTTTTCCCCTTCACCTTTAGAGTTAAGAAAATTGCTGAAAGTGACTCTTCCTCAACAAGGTTTTTTTCCTTCAAAAATAAACAAGAAAAATTGAACCTTGCTCACCAGTGTCTGTCTGGCTTTGGTTTGCATACTCTGAACATTTGCTCTCCTGCCCACCTGAGGCACGTTATCAAGGGCACAGACAGGACTAAGGCACAAGACACACCAGTGATTCCCACCCAAGGACTAATGCCTACGTACTGCTTATGCACCTTGCTATGACTTCAACCTACGGTGCACCTCAGTGAGAGTGGGATTGTCTCCATTTCTGCAATGCTGGCACAAGGATGATGTGCAGGAACTGGAAAGGGGCTGGTGGGTTTTAGCTTAAGCACTCACTGTCAGGATCGGGAGGGAGGTCATATATAGCTCGCGTAGCTTGCTCCTACCCTGCATGTGCAATACCCTGCCTGGCTGTGCCTCTCTGCTCAGAGGGCAATGGGAAGAAGCCCAGCCCTCCCTGGCTCCAGGCCCCAAAAGGCAGATTTTTTTCCTGCAGAAGGACTGACTTAGCACTGCAGAGGCCATCAGAGCCTGCAGAAGGTCTTTCCCTTTCCAAAGCTCCCATACCTAGAGTTTCCAGGAAATGAGATATTGCAGAAGCCTTTAGCTGCTTGGGGATGACACCCCCAACCCAACATACTGGTGCAGACTTCAGCATGCTGGTGTCTGGCAGCACAGTCCTTACAGGATCTGGTTTTTCCTCTGAGCTCTTGCTAACTCATGACTGTAAAGAACAAGTGCAAGAGTCTGACAGCCCCTCTGCTGACTTCTGCTAATGGAGTCAACCATCTTGTTGAGTCCCACCAACATGTCAACGTGCTCTGAAATTAGCTGCGAATCCCTAGCACATGCATTCATGTATGCACTCCCACCCACTCGTTTTCCTCTGAGGCACACACACTCTCACCCTTATTCGGTCCAATTGGCTTCCTTGGACAGTCCCCCTTTTTCAGAGTGACATCATCGATGGCAATGTCCCCCTCGTAGCTCGAGCCCCGGACACCTTCGAAGATGATCTGCAAGCAGAACATGGGACAGAGCCCAGCATGAGGCTGCAGTTGTGGAGGACCCTTCCCATGCCGTGGGGCTCTGCAGAAGTGAGCAGGGCACAGACCAGATCTTATCAGGTCCCCAAGTGAATGACTCCCTCCTGTTTCTCCAGAACTCATAGGATCTGCAGAGCTGGACCCCACCACTTACGGGACCAACCCCTGTGTGCTCAGCACCTGTAGAGTAATAAATGAGCATGTACAGCTCTGGTTTATTAAGTGTGCTGCACTAATAAGCCAACCAACACTGAACAGCACTCACAAGAGTAACTAAATTCTTATTTATTATTTTAAAGTACCCAAAAGCACGTTGGACATTTTGCCACAGTGCCGCAACTTACCAGCCTGCACAGACCCAGCTTTCACAAACACAGCCTACACCCTACAACAGCAAAGTAGCATGCTGGGGAAAAACATCAGTAAAACATCCAGTAACAAAGCAGCCCACTTCCTGGGTGAGCATAAACGACTCAATGAGCAGATAGAGAGTGCCCAGTTCATACTCACAAGCTGTCCTACAGTCCTAAACCAGGGGGACAGTGGGGGTGGGCTCTTGCAGCACACACTAGAAGAAACCTCTAGTGCTCAAAGTCACTTTACCCAAGAGGCCAGCATCCCCCAGCTGCTCAACACCAAGAGACCTGTCACACAGACCTGGTACCAGAAGAAGCTCTTTGACAAGCAGTTTACAGACCAGCACTAAACAGAAAATTTATAGTGCCAAACTGATGCTTGCACATAACAATGTTGGATGGCTTCAGAGAGAAGTGGATCTGACCAGCCGGGTTAGCTCTGTTGGTTAGAACATGGTGCTAATAACACCAAGTTCACAGGTTCAATCCCTGCTTACTGCAGAGGGGTTGGGCTCGATGATCTCTCAAGGTCCCTTCCAACCCAAAGCATTCTATGATTCTATGATTCTATGATTCTATGATTTCTGTGCATCCACCAAGCTCTTGCCTTGCCCCAGTGACCCTGGGGCTGGAGAGCTCCCAGTGCCCTCCTTGTACCCGATCAGCCCCTCTGACACGGAGGCAGGTATCTGCTGGGAAGTCTCCTACAGCCCATGGCACATGGACAGGACAGGTGGCAGGTGGCTCCTTGGCTGTGGACCTGACCTACCTGGAAGGGCCCAGGCGGGTTGATGGGCACGTGTGCTTGCTGCCACATATTCCCCCGGTTCCCACTGAGTGACCAGACCTGGGTGTCGATGGCTCGCTTGTTCCGCACGCGAACCAGCAAGTTCAAGGAGCCTGTAAGAGAGAAACAGGGCGCTGGTGTGCTGGGGCAGGCAGGCAACCCTGCCTGCTGGGCTGGCCCCCGGCGTAGCTCTGGGGCTCAGCCTCCAGCCACAGCTGTATGCCCCAACTGGCCCAGGGACAGCCTGCAGAGCCCCAGTGGTAAGCTCTGGAGGGAGCCAGCTTTCTCCTGCGTTGATAGGCAAGTGCCACTGACAATGTTTCATCCATCTTGGCTATCCAAGGGAGGCCACAGACCCAGATGAAGACAGAGAGGACAGGACGAGGAAGAAGCAGGCTGTAGCATGGCTGGGGTGGCACAAGAAAGGGGTGGCAGAAATGCTAGTTGCAAGGGCCCTCCAGAGGCATCCCATCCAACTTCTTGCTTGAACTGTCTCCAGCTCTACATGAAGGCGGCATGGCTTTGCCTGGCAAAGTCTTGAAATCCCCTGAGGAAATAAACTTTTCCTAATGTCCAGTACGAACCTTCAGCGCTACCAGTTGTGGCCACTGTTCCTTATTATATTGTCTAATACTACTGATAAGATTTTGACTCTGTTATCTTTGAAATTGCCCTTCAGACAGTTGGGGGCCAAGGGCTGATAGCACCCTCCTCTTTGTCAGACTCAGTAAGTCCAGCTCCCTCAACCTCTCTTCCCCAGGACTTCTGCTCCTGGCTCTTGACCATCCTGATGTCCCTCTGTTGGATCTACACCAGTTTCCCCACATCCCACTCCCTACATCCCCCTGGAACTGGGGAGCCCGGGACACGTTTGTCTCTCCCCGTTCACCACTAACACCTGACGTATCCTATGCAGCTTACAGCTCTCTCCCTGTCCTGGCCCTGGCCATCAGCTGCAGAAATACAACCTGTGTCCTCAGTCCCACTTGCCCTGGAAGCAGCCTTGAAGTGAGCAGCCGTTTTTCGCTAGTGCTGGGCACCACACTGCCTATACCATCCCAGCCCCATGTTTCAGAGGGACACAAAGACCCTGTGAATCAACACCGACTTCAGGTTCTTTCAAACAAAGCAATTCCCAAAAGGTTTCATCAGCCATTAAACCAAAACCAAAGCCAACAAATCTCCAAGCATTTCCAGTTCTCACTTTGAAAACAGCGTCACAGCCCTCCACCCACAAATGAAACCATCTCAGTTTGTCTTCCTGGACCATCTTTTTAGTAATCCCCTCAGCTGACTTTTTTTCCTTTTTTGTTTCAGTGAAAAAAACATTTTTAAACATTCACTCAGGGTTGACCTGAAACACTTTTTCTCTTTTTTTCTTTTCAATTCAGCTGGTAAACCAAAAAATCAATCGCAACTCTAGTCACGCTGTTGCTCGTCAGTGTTTCTGGTCTCCATACACAGACATATTACACCTGAGAGCACAGAGGCAATAATAACCCTTACTTATATGACCATAGTCTGTCTGCACTTGGGATGCTGCATTCCCTCCCGGGTACATCCTTCTGAGAGGCAGCAGCGAGAGGTCAGGGGAAGAGACAGGGAAAAAGACTTGCCTATATAACCTCCCTCCTACACGATCCCCTGAAATTCTTCATTCTTGGCACATCAGCCCTGGGGGCACTGTGTGAAGGACAGGGACCTGGAAGTACCCCTGTCAAATGCCTGGCTGTCAGAAAGTGAGAGACATATCACAAAGAGTTCAGAGATGCATAATAAAGATGATGAAATGTTTAGATTCTGAGTGTCTGACTTACAAGAAAAGGTTAAATGAATGAAATATGTATATAATTTAGTGAACTGAGGAAAGAGGGGCATGTTATTGCCTGGAAATATTTGAAGCATTAGCACTAAGGGTAGCTGAGAAAACTAGATGAAGGCCTGATGGGACAGGGAGAGGGTATCCAATTCCCTTCCTCAGCAGTACCCAGTTTGGGATGCACACCACAACCCAAGATAAGGAGTGAAATAACTTGTTTCTCTCTCTCTTGAGACCAGCTGGCACTGCATCACCTTGGGGTGAGGTAAGCAAGTGGGATCTTCCTCCTGGAAACACGGTGCCAAGGATGAGAGAAGTCACTACGGGAGCCTCCGGCAAAACCAGCTTTGAGCTGCCGGTTTCTTGGTGTTCCCCCTGCCCTCAGGAGCTTCCTACATGGGAAAGGCTTTCTAAGAAGGATACCTAGTTCTCATGGAGGCCCTTGTCCAAACTGATGGCCCATGCAGGAACTACATGACCCTATAGATCAATGGCAACAGGAGTGTGTTCAGAGCAGCTAATTACAGACGCTAGAGCCGGTGAAGTGAGAGACTGAGAGTGAATGAAGAATTAATATGAAGCTGCTAGCAAGCAAGGATTAAAAACAACCCTTGTCTTGTCTATCTTCATTTGGGGACTTGCAGCTAGGATCTGCTAGGCCTAGCCAGCACTGGGACAAATCAGGCAGCAAATAAACTTTGATGCCCTAGGAAAAAAGCAAAGGCAAGATAGAAAGAGACCCAGAGAAGCATCTGGAATGCAAATTAGTGCCCCCAAAGCACTGGCTGTGAATGCCTGGCCTAAACCCAAACCAAGCCTGAGCATATCCTGGCTGACAGCTCCATGTCCTTGCAGCATCAGGAAAAAAGTTTCAACCTTTTGGCCCCTGAATTCCCTAACAGAACAATACAGAATATGAGCAGGCATTCTTCAAATGGTTTGCAACTGGAAAGGAAGCTCCCTTATCTGCCCACAACCTGCAGTGTCTCACCACCCCTGTCTATACATGGAAAACTGAAGGTCAAAACAGATGAACAGCATGCCCATGACTGTCTTACAAATCAGTCAGAGTTGTGAAGGGGAGTCAGATCTCACAGCCCTACCTGCAGTCCCTGATAAGTAACAGAGCCTCCCTGAGAATGGGAAAGAACCACACCACCTCCTTCCCCAGTAATGCTGTCATTGGGAGTGTGCTTCTGGGAGGCATGGCAGAGACTCCAAGGCTTCAAACTAAAGAGGGATGAAGCCTCTACCCCGTCTGAACTGGGTCTGTAGTGTTGCAGATGTTAAAGACTGTGCAGGTCTTCTACTTCATTCCCTTCTACCATGTGTCAGTCTGCCACAGGATGCCAGTCAAGTTTAAGGGCACGTAGCCTGCGATGGAGGTACTTAGAAATCAATCTTCAGATCTGAGCTCCAGGCAGAGCCATAAAACATTGTAGTCCTGGACTACAGAAAGCTCGAAGTCACCTTTCCAATTGCTCAGAGATTCTTTACCTCCATTTTTCAGTCTGGCCCCAAAAGCCAACTGTGTGATGGAACAAGTGCTGCAGGGCTTTGTGTTTTCCAAGGGAAAGCTCTGGGTTCAGCCTACTGCCCTAAAATCAAACGTTGTTTCAGGATCCCACTTACAGTCATGAAAATTCATAGATTAAGTCTCAGGCTAAAAAGGGAGGTAGAGCCTATGTAGATATTGACATCTGTACCTCCTGACTTCTGATGAATTCACACCTGCCCACACCCACCTCCATGCAATCTAGCAATACCCATCTCATGCCTTATTAACTATCTTCGCTCCCTGTGTGGTTTTCAGCATGTCACACAAGTTCAGACCAAACCAGCCACTTGATGCTTGTAAGGTGTCTCTCCTAGAGCACAGACTATATATCCAAATCCCACTTTGCAGGAGGTGGCCGATACACAATCCATGCATGTGTGGGGTGTGAGGGAGCCCATTCACAGCTGTGAACTGACTTGCCACGTGATCCTTAGCCAACTGCTTTTACCTACTTTTATCTGCTGACATGATACATTGGTGATAATCAAGAAGGATAATAACATTCACTCACTTAGAGGGGAACTCAGAAACACAGCAAACATTTTATGAGACCTGAGCAAGAAGGCACTAGGGAAGAGAAGTGCCTGAGCTCTTCTGCCTTTCTAGTGGTCACAAACTGAAGAAGAACAAAAGTGGGACCTGCTCTCCAACCCCCATGCCTCCATCAGTGGAGATGTGAAAGGCCCATCTGGGATGTTCTCCAGTGCCAGGTATTGCAGACACCCCTTTTGCCTGGTTTTATACTACAGTCATGCCTAGTTTCCTGTATCAGAGTCTAAATCCAGCTGGCAATTTTGTTACCTATTTCTGTCATTGCTGCCCCTTCCCCATCTCCCCCATCAGATGTGTCTGGCATTTCCTAAGGGCACCTGCTGGTGAGGCATATGCAAAGACAGGCCATCTATCTGCTGCTAAATCTCTCCAGCTGACCAGAGACAGACAAACACAAGGAAAATCCCAGGACACCAGCAATCCTGTTGTTATCTTTCCCT